ATGCATCAGTCGACTGAATCGAACGCATTGTTAAAGTCCACGAACACAGCCATTGTAGGTCTGTGTATGCGTGGCGCTGCTCTATCAACTGCCGCAGAAGGAATATATGGTTTGTACAGCTCTGTCCTGGGCAAAAACTTGCTTGTTCTTCTCTAATCCGGAATTCTCGTTCCACATTGAGGCTAAGAAAGATATTTGAAGCCAATAACTCTCTCACTACTGGCGTTAGGCTAATACCCCTGTGGTTAGCACAGTCTGTGCCAATTCCCTTCTTCTATATTGCCACTACAACCGACTCGCTCTAGCTAGTCGGGATGGTCTCTTACTTTCAGACACGTACGAACAGAGAAGTCAGTACTCTGCAGTGGACCTCACAACTATCTCTAATAAATACAGCTTGGAGGGAATCTGGGTCAGCAGAGCGGAAAAGATTGAGGGCTGTGATGTCGTTTCGGATCTCAGCCTCTGACGAAGCCTCAAAACCAACTGGCCATGGCTCATCTTGCATCACTTGTGAAGAAAGATGTCCGGAAGCAGGAGGTCAACTGAAATGATCCTGAAAGTGCTCCGCCCAACGAACCATAATGCGCTTTTTATTGTGAATCAGTGCACCTGCGTTGTCTTTGTTTGTTCCACTGACTCCTGATTTCCTTAGATTGATGGTGCGGATCAGCTGGAAGACTACTGCTCTTGCCTCCTTCATTGCTAGACTTCTGCCATTACCCCAAGCTTCCATGTCAGCGTAGAGGCTCCGCTTTAGTTTGCATCTAAACCTGTGTCCGGTTATAGTGTGCTCAGAACCGACCGGCTGATATGTTCTGTACGACGTGCATCTTGGTAGGCTTGCCTGACAGAGGGTTGGAATAATTTCTCAGGTTCCAATCGGGAGACACGCTTGATTCTTATCCCGGTAAAGTTCATGGGAAAACGACCGTGTACCAAGGTGAGATCAGAGTCGACACAAGTATTCTAGAAAGACCGGCAATCCAAAATGGAACCACGCCACGCATAAATGGTGGCAACCTGATCTATCTGCCTCCATTGATGGCCAGCTACAGGAGGATGCCAAGTGGCACTTCGGCGCCCACTGTGTCTGAAGGCAGTGCTAATAAGAAATGGCTGCTGCCCACCGTATAGTTGCAACAGAGGCTCGAAGTTGTCCGTACCGTCAGAGTTAAGCTCATTAGTATCACCTAGCTGAGATTCTGCAAAGCCCAGGCGACTTTCTCATGCATTCATATCCCATGCAAAAATTATGATAGCTGAACTGGTAGTACTACGCACTAGCGTGCTCAGTTCGTGGTCGTAAGCGTCCTTGGTAGCATCAGAACTGCAATCAGTGCCCCCACTGACTGCAGTACTTCATGAAACGACCGTCGTTGAGGTCGTCCAAAGGACTGTACACAAACCGCTGTTCACGAGAATCCAATCAACCAACAATGACTCAGCCTTGGAGCTGGGAACGATACCTTCCGCAGCATCAGCCATTTCAAATGCGCGCAACCAATAGCGAAAGGACAAACCGGGCGCAGTTAATTCAGTGACCCGTGAGGGTCATTGATCCCAGTATCGGACAAACAACACACCACAATATCCAATGTGTCCAACCTGCAAGCAAGTGCAGTCTGTTGATCTAGTTGTCCTAGAGCAGGAACTTTGAAAGCCGCCATGGAAACGGGACAGTGTGAACTTACAGGGTACAGTTGGCGATTGGTATCCAGTAGGTGGTGCCGGAAGATAATAGCAGATGGTGCGATTCCGGTGATATTGCGGTTGATGTCAAGTAAAATGGCAATTATAGAAGGAAGCTTAGTAATGGGGATTTGGATGGGAGTAAGAGAAGCAGATGGAAAGGAAAGAAGGGAGGCGCCAGCAGTAACATATTTTCGCTTTTCCACCCTATTGTATGCAGCAGATATGGTGACCGTTGATAAACTGTGCCACGGCCGAGGCAGGAATCTGAAGAAATAGTCATGGTTTTGCGTGGGTTGAGATAATGCCAGCGCAGCCAGGCATTGACATGAGAACGATTAGGGTCATCAACCAAAGCCTTTGGCTTAACAGCTTGTCCGCAAAGCAGCGGATGTGGCAACGGTTCGGTTTTACAGAAATGGATGCTATGTTATTTAATCTTTCCAGCCTTGAAGACCAGGAGACTCAGTTTATCCGAGCACTAACCAATGATAAACCTTGTTGGTGTACCTCACAATTGGCACAATGGTCCCACGTAGTATATCTCAATGGGTCAAGGGGGTACGCAAATCCTCACATCATGTTAAGGTCCATTCCCGTTGCGACGGAATAGTGGCTGCTAACATGTTAAATTCTGTATTTAGTTCCTCTCCGTTGAGAGATTTTTCATTGCCTACCTACGCCATCTCAAGCCCAGACACCCTGTTTGATCAAGCTGACATCAACACAGAAAGCAAAATACTAAAGTTAAATATATATAGTGGGCCAAGTGGTTTTCTACTTGTGGTTATGAAGCATCCATGGATTCCCTTTAACTGATGTTTTCCAAATGTCTCACGGCCGGCTGCATCCCCGACATCTGGAGAGTTGCCAGGATAAGTACAGTTCTTAAAAAGAAATCATAAAAGTCGCGGACAATTGCTTGTAACCCCGTGCTCTCAGAGTCCTCGAAAATCTATGGGATCCGTAGATTTTCACGGCTACTCATGTCAATAATGTCTAACAGTTTGTATTTAGACGTCATCGTACAGCACTGGAGGATGTTTGGTAAAATGGAGCAGTGCAACGTTGTTTTTGTACGGATAATATGGGTAAAGTTTAACAGAGCCCTTTGGATGGTCACAGTGAATAATGCAAAATATAGGACCATTTTCAGCAAATGTATGTTCACACCGGTGAACTCATCGTGGTATACGCATTAGAAACTCTAAATCCGGTGTAACGTCATAAGGAACATCGAGGATGGTAAACATCGTGCCGCCTCCTGATGTACACATACAGGAGGTGAAAAAGGTGGAACCTGTTCTTGGGGTTGTGTTTACCCATGGGCAATGAGTCATGTAATGTGGTGCGGCGAAATGGGTGCACGGCCAATTCGAGCTTTGAACTCTGCCAGCGTGGGAGCAGAGATGATAGATTCAGGTATGGCATTCCATGCTTGGCAAAAGCGTACGGAAAAGCAATTCCGACGACATTCCAAAAGACTGTACTGCTCTGCCAGCTTGAGATGGTGACCTCTCAGATTACTGTTCTGCTTGAGCTATGCGAAATGGTGGCACGTGTGGTTAGGAGCTCTCGAAGTCTGGTAAGTCAGAATAAGGTCCCCACGCAGTCACCGGCATTGATCGCTGAAGACCCCGAGCACTCGAAACTTTAGTTACTACGTCAAATTATACAAACCATTGACATTTTTGGTGGTACGGCTTCGGGGTACCTCCAAGGCGCTGATGTCTCTCCTCAGCCTTGGCTACCAGATCTGTGTTAATTATTCCATGTGTGGACGTATGTAGGTGCCTATATGCTGTTGAAATACCGAAGGGTCTTCGCGTCCGAACACACACCGCGAAAGACCAATGTGGTGGATGCCAATTCTCGGAGCCTTTTTAGTTCGAGCAAGACATCCAGGGTCGGTCTGGACTAAAATGTCTGGATCATTTTCGCCAGAAAACATCTGAAGCTCCTGGTTGCCGAGTTTCTACGAGCATGCTAGGTGATGCATTTAGTTCGACACACCACATTTTATTAGCATCTGTGTTAAATAAAAGGTACGGGTCCGTGCGGCTTTTTTCTTGACTATTCAACTGGTTTCGGGAACTCTGAGCAGCCTTTTCTGCTCGTCTTATTTGTACGGAGTACACACGGATATTTGCAACTTGTTTCGTGACTGCTTCACTGATCGTACGCACATTACCCAGTTAATCGGCACAAGCTCCTCTATGCTCCGTGCCGACTGTGGCATTTTACAGGGTGCGATCCTCACCCACACAATCGACATTCATTGGATGTAAATGTGCTGACGATGTTGTCTTGGGGTGCAGAGCTCCCTCCATTGATATGTCTACACTTCGATGTGGTTTGGACGAATTTTTTGAGTTGAACATCATTCAACTAGCTTAATCTTATTGCTTTGTAATGTACCGAGGTAACTATTTCATTTCTTCTCTTTAAAAAATTGTAAGTTACATTAAATCCCTCTTACTTATTAGCCTTGAAGGTCCAAAACATGCCTATTTTACACTATTTCAGATATCTCAGTGTTTATTTGTCTCCCAAGCCCCCTTAGTCGAAGCACATTTTGGAAAAATGTCACAAGGGCGGAACTTCATCTTTTTGTACTTTCCGAATTAAGAAGCTCGTGCCGCGAAGTTTAATTTTGAGATTTACAGATGTATATATACTACGCCTCTGGATAGGTTGTTTCCCGGTACCCATCCCTGATCTGCTACAAAAACGCTATTTGCTTGTGTGATCAATTAAACATCTTTCCAGATGTAGCGGCTTGCCTAAGGATTCCTTAGTTCCTTTTATTATTTGTGAGCTTTTGGAAGCCTGCATGAACTATCTTCTAAGATCCTAAGTGACCGCTTTCATCCGCTACATAGGGCTCACTCAAAAACCTTATCTATCTTTTATACTCACTCAAAATTCAAAATTTTACTCTCCTTCACTTTTGTTATCGTAACCCAACCATACTTGTAACGTGTTCATCTTGACCCAGGTGGCATGCGACTCCCTGAATGACTTCTACACACTATCTGTTTAACCCTTTGGTTTGTAGTCAGATATTTTTAAATGTTCCCATCATCCAGTGCACCCGCAGTGATAGTATAAATGCTGAGATTGTACCCATTTGAATGCATAAAGCACATTTTGACTTGATTTAATTTAACTTGACTACTGCAGATTGATACAACCTCTCTTTTCACATATCGCAGATTCCTGGAACACTTCGTATCGCCTAATGAGCTTCATGGGACTTTTTAGCCTCGCTTTAGTACATAAACAAGCTGGAACCATTAACAACGTACCATTAATGAATTTCCTCCAATTAAATAGAAGTCTTCATCGTCTCTTGGTCTTCCAGCTCTGTCTTGCGCGACAGACGGGTCAACACCGAGGATGGTTGCGAGGACTCTTCTGGCTTGTTCTCTGTAATTCGGTCTCTTCAGCCGCTTTTCCCCTTTTTGAAGAGTGCGAAGCACCTCATCTGCACCAAGCCTTCCACCTGCCTCCTTACATGGTGGATGATTTTCGCGTTCCAACGTCAACGTGTCCTCGTACAGAGTGCGCAATCGTTGTTTGTCAACCTTTCCACTGGTGGGCATCACCGGAATCCGATTTATCTAAACACCGGTAGTACATATTAGAGAAAACCAGTCATCTACAGAAGCAATAAAGTTAATTGAAGTGATGGTTGCATATCATATCAATCACTAGCTGTCAGTTACTGAACTTATTAGGCCTCCGCACCACTTCCACTCCAAAACATTACGTGAATTTAGTAATGGATCTTGGAGCACCTGCGGTGTGTTTGGGGTTGGTGATAAGCAATTTTAAAAAGCAGCCTCAGACCACTTTGAAGTCGGAATCCGGTCATTTCATCTCTTGGACTGTATCTAAAATGGTAATCCTAACTGCCGCACACTACAGTTGGTTTCGTCCTTAGTCAGACTACCAGAGAGAGATAGCATTGACCGGAATGACTGAAGTTGTGTCTCGAATAAACCGAATCCCCAGTAATACCCTGAGTCATGATCCCAATACGCGATGATTATTCCGAGAGCCAGCATTGAACTCCTAATCTCTATACTAAGCGTTGCTCGCAGCTCTCAGTGACCTAGCCCTCAAGAAGTTAGGCATCAACCATTATGCACCAAATACAACCCCCAGTTTCCGGTACCTCTAACTGAAGAGTCCAACTCTAGATACTACCAGTCGTGGAGTGCAGTTTTGAGGACAAACAAAACCGAAAATGCTTCAGCTTACCAAATAAGTTATTTTAGTATGGTGCTTAACTCCACTTTCTCCTCTCCGAATTGACCGAGTCTCATGGTAGCCTAATATTGGGTCTAAGTCGGCCTGATTGTAGGAAACACCTTAGTAAACAACCAGCTGTCAAGACATATAGGTTGCATTACGACCTCAGCTGATATTTCGAATGATGAAGCCAATTGCAATTCTTTCTTGATTTGCTACCCGATTCCCTCTACTATGTAGGTACTTCACCTCCTTGTCTTGTTTGTGGCCTTAGAGACGAGGTTATAATATTCACCCCCGTGCGTCTAATTACAACGACTGTAAGTCGCTAATGCCACTGACCAATCACAAACTGGATTCGACACTGGACCAGTTTATCAAAAACCACCGTTAATGGTTCCTTGCTAGGTCAACATTTTCGCTAATGTACGTTCTCACATATGCATCCTGCCTCAGATGGTATAAAAGTTCATCATGAAGAGTAATATATGACCGATTTTTGTGGATCGAATACTGACGTACTTGGATCTCACATCTGATTACATGATCGGTCCGCATACCTCAGATATCGTAGCGTTGGGCCTCCAAAAACCGAGCTCACCTAATGACGTTCAATGGCTTGCCAAAGAAATTGAATTAAAATTGTAGTCACTAGATAGATCTCACTCACTGCTAGAAATATTGGCCGAATGTAGACTGGCAAATAGTTGGCCATCGTTGTTGAAAGCTCATTCGGTTTTGGAGAAAGCTTGGCCCAGTCTGCTGACTGGGGCTTAAGAAGTGTTAAATGTGAATGGTACTTTATGCTTCCGTGCAGCACAGGTTTAATTTCTGTTGATAGGAAATTTACTTGTCCACACAAATTCGAACTGTCTGTGGCAACCACGTAAAAACACACCAGCTGCTTGGTTCCGTTGGAGGGGTGCTGTACGGGCAATGTGACTGATTCGTAAACGTTGATCACTTTCTTCTCCATCCAAGACATTGCAGATGGCTTCCGTGTGCAATTTTCCTTTATTCTGAGCAACAAACGATCAACTTCACTGGCCAAGAATCGGACAGCGTTAATTTTTACTAGTTCATCCGAACGACCACACACGTAGAGCAAGTGGTCCTCTGGACTGATGAAACCAAGGTCTCCTGGAAAGTAGACAGCATGATTCCCCAAGAACGCCGGTGTCAGTCTGCTCGCATTAGCCTCCTGGAAGTCCAAAGTTAACGGGTGCGAGGCAGGCGCCGTAGCCTTTTCGTCTGAAAAAACACCAACTGGTACACCAGTAATAGCAACTTCACCAACACAACCCTGTTCAATAACCTGATATCCCATACTCGACCAGTCTACTGGGTAAACAGGATCACCTATGATTGACTGTTTCGACAGATCCATTGATAAAGTGCGCTGACATATGTTCTCTCCACATCTTTTCACAATGTATATCGTAGTATTGGATATGGGTATCCCGACAGCAACAAATGATGAAGTCTCCACCATAGTGTCCTCCTGCGTACTTCCTTCAATATGTTTGGTGGCCCGCTTCACATCCTGTTCACTGTAGAACGCGTAAGCAGTAACATCACCTGCCACCTCAGTAGTGCCATAAAAGTTTAATAACCTCGTACCACGTCCTAACGGCAAGTGAAAGAAGGTGCAAGCCAATTCTGGAAGAAGAATGTCGCCACTGACCACGATGGTGTTCAGAGAACTCAAGTCGGCGTCACATTCCTTAGACTCGATGAGATTCATTTGATTCATCCATATGGTCAACTGGTTCGGCACTGTTGTCAAACGCGTGATGCGGAAGAAACGAATTAGACTGTACAAAATTCGGACGTCTGAGACGCATACTTCACTGGCGCACTTCAGACCTCCGGGGACAACAACAGTGAGACCAGCGAATAGTGCGCTGAACAACTCTGTGAAAGCATCCACAAACACACATGCAGTACTGGATAGGATTACTTCACGCTTTTGTCTATATTCGTCTTCTAAGCAGTGTTTCCTTTTCCATCTTCCTGGACCATCCATCTCCACATTGCTCGCCCACTGCCAATTCAGTCGGTTCACCAGCTGACTGTTCCGAAGGCGAACGATCTTTGGATCGGATGTAGTGCTGCAAACGGGAATAGAGTTCATTACTGTGAGGAGTTATGTATCAACCGCAGATACCTGAGAACATATGTGCACAGACAAACAAGAGAAATTATTCAGAACATCGGTAACTTTATCTTTTACGGTGGAATGGTATAGGCGACGTTCCCTAAATGTGAGAAATAATGCCTGTGTTTTGTTAACTAGACAGTGCCACATGATGCACTGGTTACCACGTTCATTTGCAAACTTTGTAACGACTGTTGTCCATTCAATTGTTCAAAAAGTCAGTTGTCTTTTGTGCTGAAAACGGCAACAGTAGTAAAAGTTTCAGAGTGACCACAATTATGCAAAGCTAGTTGGTGACGACAAGATTTTGGTGTCTAGAAATAAATAAGGGTAAGAAATACTATATCAGTGATTATGTGTGTGTGTGTGCATATGACGCGCGTGTGGCACGTTATGGGGCCGCATGTATAAGACATAGAGTAATAGTGAACTATAGAAGCCCAACTGCCCAATTTCCAAATACCAGAGTTTTTCAGTAACTTACTACTTTGTCGTCCCCATTGACTTTACGTCTTACGTTACGCAGAACGTAAACAATCTTCTCATTAAGCTCTGAAAGTTTGTTAGACAAATTCAGTTGTTGCGCTGTCACAGAATAGACTGAATTCCGGTACACTTTTGCAATGCTCTGATCATGTCATGTACAAGCGTAGCAATATTCGTACAGTCGTAGATTAATCATACGTTTCTAATAATAAAGGAAGTAGGGAGGAAAAAGTCTCATGTAACCCTCAGAGCTCAGAGGACACCCAAAATTTTACAACTACCATACAAGAGAGAAATCGCTATGGAACTCCTAACTCGCCGCCTCTCTCATGTCCTCAGATACGCTTACCCAGTAGCTAAAATGCAAATCCAGTTCTCCGATAGCCCAATGGTAAGAACTAGCCACCAAAGACAAGAGTCCTGCCCACGTCAAATCAATTTGCACTTATTGGTTCTCCTGTTCTTGCGGAGCAAGTTACATTAGTCGGACGCCAAGGCGCCCGTCTGACAAAAAAGGAAAACTCCATTTGGCCTGATTTATGACCGACTGTTGAAAAACAATCAACTCCCCCATAGCTATGCATCTGGTCTATACATGTAACCAAGTTAGCTGAATCATTAACAATGATTTATCAGGCACTGAACAATCGATCAAAGTGTGTCCGTTGGCGTTTCCTTGAATTCGCTGAGGCTATCACGTTTCGACGGTACCAGTCGCAGTTGCGCTTTCAGAAACGACCCTCTCAAAGGTTAAAACTGAATTGGCAAACTCTAACTGTGACGTCTATCCACGGAGTCGTGCTCATGTGGCAGCCGTAACCTAACAGACTGTGGTCGTGCTTTCTCAGTGATTGTGAAATGAGCGTAATTTACCGACCGTTACATTGTGTTTACAAGTTTGTCCTTTCCACACCTAACTCTATAAGCCTGACACAGAGTTATTACAACGTATGATTACTCGTATCGATTTGTACTTAAACTTGGCGAAAGGACAGTCAGAGCGACGTGAAACCTTAATATCAGTTGTGCAGTCGTGCACTTGTAAGGGTAACCTCTGTACTTTTGAAGATATATATGTCTAACTATATATCTTTAGCAGCAGTCTATAAGCTAGACACTGAGCCAGCGAACACCATGAAACGGAGGTAATAAATACAGAGACCACACTGAAAAGAATAAAAGTTGCAAAACAAGTTTCTCGGTATCTTGTCTTTTCTTCTTTTGTTTTTCCACTCGCCGTTTTATCCTTTCTATCAGCTTAATGTTTGCGATGTAGATCAAGTAAATCAAGCCAAACATTTGTATACCTTTTCATTCAGCCCGGTTCTGTACCATCTCCGAAAGAGTTTCCAGCCGGCGGTGTTCTTCATCTTTGATCCTCCAGCCCGGAAGACGCACGGGACCTACGACAGCCAAACTGGAAGTCAGCGTTTTAATCGTTTACTGCCACGTGATAGGCTGCCCCCACGCGATTTCTTCCAGCCTGGTCCTATGCAAGCGAAGAGAGCGTGTCAGGGCAGCCGTTAGCATGGCATGTGTACAGCGTGGCCCAGCCACCTCAGTTGGCTCAGTGGTACCAGTCTGTCAAGTGGAAGTCCCGTGTTGCCCAAGACGCGACGTCTAACATCATCTTGGCGTAAGTGCTACATCCAACACACTCGAGCTATTCTCCGCGGACATCCATTGTCAAAGGCCGGAATCCGACGCAACTCATTCACACGAATCGGACAGGACTCACTCCCATACAGCAGCACCGTGCGAACACTGACATTGTAGACCCTGCTCTTTTATAATAGTGAAACGTCGCGGCGTCGCCACAGATACCTTAAGTTGGCGAATGCCGACCGGGCTTTGGCAATGCGGAGGGAAATCTCTTTTCCAATGCTGTCATCAGCAGAGACACAGCTTCCCAGGTAAGCAAAGTTATCCACTTGTTCAAGCTGCGTACTTTAAAGAGTGAGCTCTGGGGCTGGTGCATGCTAATCCAGGACCAGCGCTTTGCATTTCGTAGAGGCAAAGGTCATTCCGTCTTGTGCTGCTTCAATCGCCAAGCGATTTAGAACGGCTTGTGTGCTCTGTATGTTATCACCAAGCAAGGCAATATCATCAGCATAATCTAAATCGGTCACGCGATTGCCAGGAAGATGCTCTACACCAGAACCCTGATAGCTCTCGAGAGGGCTTAAAATGACATCCTCGATCGCAAAATTCAAGAGAAAAGGGAACATAGGGCAACCTTGTCGTACACCACTAGTGACGGTAAAATATGCTGAGAGCTTACCATAAGCCCTCTCTTTACCTGAGACATTGGAACATAATGCTCAATGGATGGCGATGTACTTTTCGGGTATTCCATTCTTTTGTAAGCAACGCCATAAAGCTGGCTGATCGACTGAATCGACAGCGTCTCGGATGTCTGGAAAAACGACGATAGTGGGCTGGCAGTAAAGAGGTCGCGTTCCAAGGAGTTGGCGGAGCGTAAACAAGTAATCTGTACACCCTCGACTTGGGCGGAAACTAGTCTGTCCTTTACGGGAGCGCGATTCTCCAATCGGGGTTAGTTTACGGAGTAGAATGGATGTTAACAGCTTGGAGGCAACGGACATTAGACTAATTCCTCCGTGGTTAGCGTATAGGGTACGGGCACCTTTCTTGAAGATCGGGATAATAATTGACTCGCTCCAAACGGATGGAACTGTTTATTCACACCAAATCTTAGAGAACAAAGCTTTTAACTGGTTGACAAATGCTTCGCTCCCGAACTTAAACATCTCTGGAGCAAGTCCGTTTGGGCCAGCAGACTTGAATCGCTTCAAGTGTCGGAGCTCAAGGTGGACCTCAGCTTCAGTGAGTGGTTCCAATTAGACGTTCCAAGGAGCGCAACTAAGTATACTCAATAGGCTAGCCGGAGGAGGAGGCCAGCTGATTTGAGTGCGGGAGTGTGCAGCTCAGCGGTTCATACGCCTGTGTAAGTTGCTTATCAGCCTTCCGACAACCTCTCAAATAACCTCACTGAGACCAGGTCTTTTGAGACAAGGGGCCCTAATCATCTGTAAGAGTTTGCGGAAGTTTCCAGAAACGGCTACCGCTTCCATCTCTAAGGCGCGCTGGGACCACCAAGTTTCGCGATCCGCAAGCAGGCTTTGCTTAAGTTGTTTGCTGAGCATGGGACGCAGTGCACTGCTATTTGAATCGACCGGGAAAGCTCTACGACCATCAAACAATTCCAGTGAGTGTGCGGGAATCCAGCCTCTCAGAGGGCACCTTGTGATTCCGCAGATTGAATGACTGGAAGTTATCATTTCACGCAGGAAACTCCAATGATTTTCAATGTCTTGCGATGCAGCCCCAATGAGCGCATGCGATAAGGAAGATTGATAAGTTGATGGAGTAGAGAGGTCAGCTAATTTGTTGCTGTCGAGCGTATGGACCTTTCGTTTTGAGAATCAGCTGAAGCGCATGCAGATGTCCGCGCAGACTAAAGCATGATCTGAATCGAGGTACGTAGACCAAATCGATCTACAACCCCGGACGCTGCCTCGCCATCTAAAGCTGATTGCAATATGATCTATTTGTGAGCACGCTAGCGTTGGTGAAGGAGGACGCCAAGTGGCTGCGCGTCTTCTGGTATGCTTAAATTTTGTACTTGATAGAAAGGAACGGTGGTCCTCGCATAACGTAAGAAGTCTATCACCGTTGTCAGAACGGCTTTCATCAAGCCCCCGACTGCCACCAAGATAACCTTCTGACGGAAGCAGGCGACCTACTCGTGCATTGAGATCTCCGGCAAGGACGATGACATCTGACTTTTCTGCCTTGTTCAAAAGATTGTGGAGACCTTGATAAAAGTTATCCTTCACGGATGCACAGCTGCAGTCGGTTGAAGCGTAGGCAGAAACGACGAACAAATTGCGCCTCTCTTCACGATATAGGATGTTATGGCAACACCACAACTCTGGCTATAAATTCTCGTTTATGCTTCAATTAACGGATGATTGAATATATGATATCCTATCCGACAGGTAAGGCTTGTGCTCAGCTCAAACATTGCGAGGCAACTAAGGGGGTTTTCCGTCGCTATGTAGGTGGAAAGGACATCCGAATTACATATACCCACCGTTCTGACACTTCACTGTCACATGACCACCCCAATCTCTCAAAGGTTGGGTATGCCGCGAGGTCGCACCCACCTACGCGGACTCAAAACGGAGATCTCAGGGCTACAAGGCAAACGAGCAATCCTTTCGGCTACCTGCCGATAGAATGATATATGTGCACCGCGGTATATTCGCCCCAGCAGTTGTGCAGCCCTACTCGTTGGAAATAGTGGAGTTTTGACCCGCTGTGTACAACCGTGAGTTTGTACCATTAAAGATCGCATAAGCTACAATTGATTTAGGTCTAATGGCCAAACGCCAGTGGAGAATAGCTGAAAGATGAGGCTTACAGTGCAAATCTCTCGGATTT